TATATAAATTTTTAATCATAAAAAATTTCTGCGCTTTCAAGCGCGGATCAAAATCTAGTTACCCCTTGAACTTGGCACACCTTACACAACAATTCTAGTTTTTAACCAATTACACTATCGAAGATATTGACAATTTAAAAGCCAAAAAGTTTGATAATCTAATTAGGACCAGAAGCACATGATTATATTGTTTGTACCTAGGGCCACTACTCGCTGCCATCTATCATTATTTTGTCACCATCATCAGTTATAGTATGAATTGTTCTTATTATTCGATAGATTGTCCTGGCGAGGAGTGAATCCCAAGAGACAAAAGAGAGTAAGGTTGATGGAATTATATCATTTTTATCATTTCTAAACATCTATGGTTGAATTTGAATAATATATAATGTTGTGTTTTTGAAAGGATCGTTTTCGATCTTGATGTATTCTATAGTTATGGATATCATTAGGACACTTGGTAAAAGGCATAACAATTTCTTATAATGTTCAGTTTTGTTGTTTACAAGCAAACTGAAACATGTAATTGCTGAAAATCATACTAAAGATATATAAACATTTAGGTATTAAATAAATCTCAAAAGTGATAAATATAATCTCCCTCGTTTATAGTGTTGTTTTTTGCCCTTCGTTTACTTTAACAAATGAAAGAGTACTTTTCGAAATATCAAAGTTATAGATATATAACTTCCGATTGACAAAAAAAAGATATATAACTTCCAAAAATTAGTATCATGGTCTTAAGAGAAAGATCTTAATTAAGGAAGGGACGGAAGAGTGTGATTTTAAAAAATAAATAAAGGAAGAGTGGGATAAGAAGGCGTTTAATTTGTGGAGATAGAATATTTGGAAATATCAAGTGTTATGTTTATCTATTTTATTACTTATTTACCTAAATAAAATGTTTCCTATTATGGCACATGTTTATCTATTTTATTATTTATTCCAAAGTAAATAAAATATTTCCTATTATTTATTTACATGTTTATCTATTTTATTATTTATTCCAGACATAATACTAGACGGAAACAGATAAACATAATAGGAAACATTTAATTTGTGGAGATAGAATATTTGGAAATATTCCAAGTATTATGTTTATCTATTTTATTATTTATTTACATATATATCTATTCTATTATTTATTTACATGTTTATCTATTTTATTATTTATTATTTTACAAATAATAAGGTAGATAAACATAATACAAATTAAATACAAATTCCAAGTATTATGTTTAACTATTTTATTATTTATTTACAAAAAAAAGACTAGCGTATAAGATTAGTCTTCTTTGATTGCATTAAGTATCAGCCGTTTTGATCTGATTAATGTTTCTTTATTAAGTACAAACGGATTGCATTAAGTATCAGTCACTGGATCGAAAAAATCAGACTAGCTCCTTCTCTTTGCTTTGTTTCACTCAGACGAAGATAGTCTTCTTTGATTTGTTCTATCCGGATCGTCCGAGTAAACAGGCTGATACAAACACAAACGAAGCTAGTTTTCTTTAAGTTATAAGTTCCTTATTTATCCTTATAAGGAAACATTAATCAGATCAAAACCCACCATCAATCCAATGTCCAACCAAAAACAATTAAATTGTTAAATCTGATAATAAATTTTCTTTCTTAAGCATTTCCCAAAATTATTTATAAAACCTCAATTATTAACAAATTAAGTTAACTTATCATACAAATTATTAACATCAATCTTTGAGATTAGTTCAAACAAATTTTGATCAAATACACAAGCTCATATTTATCGTTTCTCTAGAAATAAAGAACAAAAACAACTTTTGACATTCCTTGTGTGTTAACAAAACTGTAGGAAATTATTTGGTAAGCAAAAATTTAGAACTCATCAAGTTACATGGGACTGAACTTTAGACCTACTTCATAATTACTACTTATAATAATGGATAGATGAGGTGTGCCAAACATTAAATAGTATTATCTATGCACTAAAATTGTCACCTGGTTTGTATCTTTCACCCACTACGACGACTCCATAGTACAAAAGTTAGCAATTTGGAAATGGGTCATGATCTAAAATCCCACCAACCAAAAATATATCAAACTAAGTCAAGTACCTACATGATAATCTCTTCAACCAAACCTTAATTTAAAGGTGTTTATATATATATCACAAAATTGATTAAATGGATTTGAAGATAATAAGAACATAATAATATTTTTCAAATAATTAATTATAAGCAAACAAAAACATTCCCTTTATCTTTGTTGGGTCCTTTTGACAAAAACATGCTTTTCAACCTTCAAGTAGTGTGTTAGTTCTTTAAATAAGACAGTTTTGTTGGGTTTTTTATGTGCGTTTAAGTTAGTGTAACTTTAAACAAGATTATCATTTCATAGTAGTTTGATTCCATGTATTCGATTTTTCACAACTGGTACAATTTATAGGCTTAATTTATTCTTTATTTGAAACAACTTGCTTTAAAAATGCATGGTGTATCACCTATATCTAATATATATCATGTATTCTCCATTTTTCACAACTGGTACAATTTATAGGTTTAATTTATTCTTTATTTGAAACAATTTGCTTTAAAAATGCATAGTGTATACACCTTTATTTAATATATATCATGTATAAATTAATTGTAACCAAAAGAATAAATTTGTTGTGTAAATTGAAGGTTTGAACAAAATTAAAAGGATATTCGGGTTCGGATCATTAATATGGTTGTTATTTTCAAATTTTTGATGCAACTTTTGTTAAACGCATGAAATAAAAATCTTAATATGCATTTTAAATAAATATCAAATCATTTTTTAAGTTATATGTACAACACTAATATAAATATTTTGAATAAAAAAAAAGATAAATAAACTAAGAAAAAAATATGTATATATACATATGTTCGATTATTTTCGGATATCCATTCGAGTTTAGATATCCAAATTCTCCTAACTCAATATCCATTCGGATATTTTGCTACTTCGGTTCGGATATTTTGGGTCGGGTTTGGGTACGTGTTCGGGTATCGGGTAAAGTGCCCACCCCTAGATTGTAAACACATTTAAGTGAATGTTTTGGTTAAAACCCACACTGAAACCTAATGAACAACCTAAGCCAAATTCTTACTCCTACCAGGACTAAATGTTCGGTCCAAACTCATATCGTGTATAAACAAACTTTAGCCAAAAGAATAAATTGTTGTGTAAATTGAAGGTTTGAACAAAATAAAAAGGATCATATACACATTTAAGTGAAAGTTTTAGTTAAACCCACACTGAAACCTAATAAACAACTTGGCCAAGTTTTTAATACTACCATGATTGAACGATCGGCCCAAACCCAGAGATCGGGGTGGTAATGTTGCTTTTAAAAGTTCCCAAGCAAGACTACTTTAGCTGTACCAACCCCCACTTACTCTATCAGTCTCTCCTGCCCCAAGAGGTGTCTTGAAAGACAATTAATAGAGTTTAAAAAATTAAATTTGCACCAGCCGGTAATCGAACCCGGGTCTGTACCGTGGCAGGGTACTATTCTACCACTAGACCACTGGTGCTTGTTGTTAACTATAACACAATAAATTATTTGTATTTTAGAACTATATACATATATATTTCTATATGTTTTACTTCCAAAATTCATACTAGGGCTGGGCAAAAAAACCGAATCCGAAAATCCGAACCGAATCCGGCCCGATAAAAAGGAACCCGAACCGATCCGAACCCGACATAAGTACCGAATGGATCTTGTTTTACGGTATTTTGGGTTATGGGTATTACCCGAACCGAACCCGAACTTAAATGGATATCCGAAAGAACCCGAAACTTTAAAACTCCTAAAAAACTTGTATCATATCCAATGTAAATATTATTGAGTACCTACAATAATTAGTTATGATATAAATAATTAACTCAAATATTTAGTCTAATTTATAGTGTTATTTGGTTATTATTAATGTTTATGATTGACATTACATTTGAAGTTAAGTTACGAATAAATTTGTTTTGAATTTTATATAATGTTGTTTTTTTAAAAGTGGAAATAGTACTTCTTACGTTTATAGAATTGTTAGTTGTTAACTTTAATTTTTGATGTTTCATTATGTATAATATTTCGTTCATACAAGGTTTTGGTTTGTCTTTAATCATGACAATATTATTTTGAAGGAGAACAATATGGTTTGTAGATGCTAAACCATATTGTTCAATGACAAATCTTATTTGGTTGATAGACGAGTTTCACAATATTATTTTGAAGGAGAACAATATGGTTTGTAGAAGCTAAATACACAAATTTAATAAAATGATTGAAAATATAATGAGTTTAATTGAGTATTAATTAGTATTTTTATAACCGATAACCCGATTAGTATCCGAAACCGAAATTATTTCGGGTTCAACCGGATCTTGGACATGTTACTAAACCCAAACCGAACCCGACTAAACCCGAACCGAACCCGACCCGAATTTTTATAATATCCGAATGGGGCTGAAATTCATGAACCCGAAAACCCGAAACCCGAATGAACCCGAACCGAAACCCGATTGGGACCCCGATTGCCCAGCCCTAATTCATACAACCACATATACAGAAGAACTACACAACCTCTTGATGCTATATAGAATAAAGATAACACCAGCTTTTTCAGCTTCCTTGAAGAATAAACCAAACATGACGAGTTCCATACACCTAGGATAAGAACATGGGATGTTGTTTTTGTTGTCTTCGCCACTAATTACCAACTTCCCAACAAGTAAGAACTCTTAATTCTGTGGAACAAGATCAAATCACATGCCATTACTTTCCCTCTCATCACCATCATCACTCAATCTCCCTTGTTCCAATATATGCTCCAAATCACCACAATGTCGGGTGAAACCTAATTTATATACTTCCTTGGTCTCAAACCTTTCTAGAGTCTAAACCATTAATCACTTGGTGTTTCTCCATCAGACCACCCTATCTCTACTCTTCATATATATAAGAAGTTAATAAATAAAGATAAATACTTGAGAAATTCATATTTATAAGAATTCAAGAAACAAATAAGAAGTTACATTATCCATGAATTAAATCTAAATCCTAGAGAGATTAATACTTGAGGACGCTTAAATAAAAAACCTAATTCAATCTACGCTTTGCCAATCTTGGAGACATCCTAGTTGAACTTGTTTCCTCAACCTTTTGTGTCTTCTCCTTCTTGTTCAATCTCTTCCCCACGGATTCTGATCCAATCAATTTCTTATTAATCTTACTCTCTCCAGCGACTCTATCAAAATCATCAGAGAGGTTTCTGATGATTCTCGCCACGCCTTCAATCTCCTCCTCATCAGCTTCATCGTTCAGATCTATGAACCTCCTTCGTTTCACAACAACCGGAGCCGCCGGTGGAGAATCAGAATCACAACCAGATCTCTTCTTCTTATGCTTATCTGAGACAGGGCTGGAATCCTCGAGCTGCGCTCGTAGCTTCTCGACGTTACCTTCGATCCGTCCTTGGAGACGGAGGCGCGTGAAGTTGAGACCACCCATGGACCAGTGAGCGTCTCTAGCCCACGAGAGAAGCGGATCAAGCACGGAAAGAGGAGGATCTACACGGTGAGAGTTGAACTGAGGATTATCGAAGAAACGAGGACGGGGAAGGGAGTTTCCGTAGAACTCCACAGGCCTAATGGCTATGGTTTTCCTCACCGGCGTCATCATCGTGAAATTTCACAGGGAAGAAGAGAAAGAGATTAGAGAGATGAGTGATGGAGAGTAGGGCTTATATGAACAAAGATTTATTGGGCGCGAGACTCTGCCGCGTTGCTTAAAACAAAATCTTTTGCCGCCTCTTCAATTTTTGCTTCCCCGCACTTTTATTTGGATTCTGTTAGTTATCTACACGTGTTCCCCTCAGATTTACTTCTATTTATGATATTTGTTTTCTAATGTGTTGAATACCTTAAGTTTGGGGAGAAATATTGATGATGGGGGGAGTAAAAATTGGGGGAAATAAGGTAGGGAGTGCAAATATATGATTAGTTGTGTGTAGGGAGTAGGAATGTCAAACAGGTTGATCCGTCCCATCCCGTCCCGTACCGCAGCGGGCTCGTCTTTTCGCGGGTCAAGGCGGGTCAGGCCCGCGCGGGCTGCGGTCTCCAGAAGGCCGGCCCAATCCCGTCCCGCCAATATGTACAGTCCTTTACAAGTCGTCCCGCGGGCTTAACAGAATGCAAAATGGACATGTGTCATGCGAAGTGATTCATCATCCAGACTCCTGAATAACGAAAGAAACACTCTAATTCATTATTATAGATACCCAAATATACTATGGCAATCAGCTCTTCTGATAGTAGTAGACTTCGTCTCTCTCTCGTTGTTTCAGGTTGCGCAGAAATGGAATTGAGCTGTGGAGGCTAGGGTTGCGGGACATCCAAATCCCGCGGTTACCATGAGGCCCGTCCCGCCACAAGCCCGTCCCGCCACAAGACCTGCCCGCAAGGCCCGCTAATCTGCGGGATTCCAAATCCTCGGCCCAAACCCGCCCCGCAGCAAGCCTTAACGGACCCGGCCCGCGGTCCAAGCCCTCCTTTGACATCCTTAGTAGGGAGTGCAATATCTCTAAAAATTACATAAGTAAACATACAAATAATTTCGTAAGCTTGCATTCAGGTCATTTCTATAAACATGATTTTATATAACCACAAGTAAGACGACGATTATCAATTTATCATATAAAGAACTCATACATACAATATTGTGCAAAATAAAATAAACTCAAGATAAGAGATTTGGTTTCAAGATTCAGATTGAGAGTCAAGCACTCGAATTATTGGGGGGGGGGGAATAAGGAAACATAAAACGAGTACCATAAGAATACACAACAGACCCAATCTATTGGGCCCAATAAAACTAGGGCCTAGAAGAGTACCAGTTTTTTCTTTTTTTTTGTGAATCATAAAGGTAAGAGTCTCACCACCCTCTGGGAGGAGGCCCTCCTGAGGACTGCGCACTCAATCTGTCAAGCAGTGCGTTGAAATCTATAGGCTGGCCACTCTCCTCCATCCTCTGAATCACGCTCATCACGTGCTCTCCTCTGAAACCCATGCTCACTAGCTTCTCTATCAGTTCACCATATTTTGATCTTAGAACAGGAGGTGGTGTCCCTGTGTTGTTACCACCACCTTGTTGATGCTGCTGAGGAGGGTAGCCACCTCCTTGTGGGCCTTGCATGTAATGGCCTTGCTGCGGAGGAGGAGGAGGCTGATGTGGTGGGTATTGCATCCGCCCACCTTCATACATGGCATTGGCATACCCAGGAGGAGGAGGAGGTCCTGAAGGTAGATACCCATCGCCTGTCTGGGGGTTATAAGACATCTTCGTCTGCTGAGGAGCCTGTGATGGAGGTGGTGGCGCACCGTATCCGTAACCTTGCATTGCTTGCTGAGGAGGACCACCGTATTGTGATTGCATCTGCATGCTGCTTGGCGATGGTTCAACTGGAGCTTGGTTGCTTGGTGGTGCAGGCGAGTATGTTGGGTAGCCTCCACTGGACTGTGGCCTCGCCTGCGGCGGCTGAGGAGGCCAGTTTTGCTGGTACTGCGGGAACGACTGAGTTTGTGCTGAGCTTGGGTGAGCTGGAGCAGGAGGTGGCGGCATGAACTGAGTCTGCGCCGGTGGTGCAGGAACTGGTGGAGGAGTGTTTTGAACCTGTGGAGCAGGAGGCATGTAGTACTGTTGCTGCTGTGGTTGTGGCGGCGCTGGTGGTTGTGGAGTTACTTGGTGAGGCAAAGCAAGTGCAAGCTGATTGTTACGTGCATCAGAGGTGTTGCTCTCACTCTTCTTAGACTCTACAACAGGCTCCTCACTCTTCTGAGAGTGAGACGGAGAAGACGAATCTTTCTGCACAACCTGAAGCCTCGCCAAATCCTTCTGAGTATCAGCCAACTCCTGTTTGTCTCTAAGAATCTGTACCGACCTACGCACCTATCATTCAAAAAACATCGATTAACCGATACAGAGTTCAAGAAACCACAACAAAAAGAACTTTAGCAAACCTCTTGGAGATGTTTCTCCATAGATCTAAGCTTGCCATCAGCCTCCTCATTATCCCGACTCAAATCCGATTTCATTTCACCAATCGTCTTATCAAGATTGTAACAATACAATTCAAGCTGAGACAAACGTGAGCTAATGCCTTCGAGAAAACGCATCACGTTATCAGTATACTTCTTCATGGTTCTTTCAACAGTAGCAGTAACGTCTTGGCTCAAAGAATCCTCTGGTGGACCGTACGAGCTCGTAGGGAACACCGATGATCTCGCCATCCTAGTCTTGTGAAACTCCTAAAACAAAACGATTAACTTAAATTCAAATTCAGAACCGGGATGATTAAGTAAACCGGTTTAATTACAATATTATGAAAATTTTCCCAAATCGAAACCCTAGAATTGCGAAATATTATTATTATCACCTTGTTGGTAGCGGAGAGGGAAGGATCGGAGTTGGAGCCGTTAGAGGAGTCTTGGTTGGTGAAGTCGTCGTAAGAGCGGAGGATATCATCGGGTCCGAAATCGAAGCCTGAGTTTACCCGACCTGAAGATCCGGACGCCATGGATCCGAGTACTGGATGGAAGAAAGTAACGGAAGAGGGGGAATCAATCGCTTGAGAGGAAAGCGAAGCTGGTGTTTTCGTTTTCTTCAAAACCTTTGTGAAGAAGAAGAAGAAGAGAGACGGAAACAGCTAAACCGACTTTTTTTTCTATTATTTTTGTATTGATATTTGTATATTCGTCCCCAGATATATTGATTGTTTTACTTTTGCCCCACTTTGTTTTGGTTAAGTTAAAGTACAGCCTTTTTTGAGATTTTGAAACGATGTCGTTTGGTGAAGTGGTCACTAAACTGAAGCTGAGTGGTCTTTGATCATATGTGCAAGAAACCAGCTTCTCCACATTGATATTGTTCTTCCTTTTAGGTGTTTTTAAAGATGCTCCTTTAATCTATAATTCAATCTACGTTCAAGTAAATTGTAGGCTTGTAGCTGGAGCTTTGATATTGGTCTTCTCGCTTTGTGTAGAGTCTGATAATATTATTACTCTTGTCTAATCAGTTATGACTACTGGTGGTTTTTGGGATCTATTGTCACAATGGCTATCTAGGATTTTTTTTGAAAAAATGTACATATTTTAGTAGTCACATATCGTCAGTTACCGGAAAGATAAATCGTGAGCAACTACATACTCGTCACGTAGTGAACTGGTTCGAGATATAGCTTGAACAAGTTCTTCTAAGAGCATGTGTAATGGGCAATCCTTAGGAGGAGCCCTTTGGGAAATATTAATTTATAATCATTGAGTCCCATGAATAGTTAAGGATTTTATCCTTAAAATTCTTATTTAAGGATTGATCCTTGCACTATTCGCGGGTTCCACTACACACGTGGCGGTACGCGAATAGTCACTTTAAAATAAAAAAAAATCTGAAATATCTTTATTTAATCTGAAATGCTTTTTTTCCCTAAGGATTCGGTAAGGATTGTTGTTGCACATGGTCTAAGAACTCGTTAATTAGAGATTTATATTACTGTATTTTCTGGTTTATTATGGTTACGTGATTTTATTTAACATGTTGATAAAACTCTTGGGCAGATATTCCACAATCACTTGGGTGGTAAAATGTTTTACATTCTACAGTAAACGACGTTGTGACTACTTGATTCCTACATTGATCGATTCACGAATAGATACGGGTATGGATTATCAATTTAGTTTTGGCTGGTGATTTTCAAGTGTTTTATAAACTAGTTACAGAACTATGGTTGCTTTGTCTACAAAAGAAAAATGACCGGAGATAAATTGAATTAAATAGTGATAGGAATAGTAATATTTCACGAGATTATATTGTATTTATCAAAGAACAAATGTGGTAACATTAATCGTAGCCACAAATAAGATGATCGCATCAATTTGCATTTGAGATTTACACAAAGTCAAATAATTAGATCCACATGTTCAATGCCGTTGTTCCCCCGTCAAATAATTAGTGTTTCAACCTTATCGTATGACTTTTATCCAAACAAAACAACATATATTATGAGCATATAATACCAACAGTGATATTGAGAAATAAGAGGCATAAGCTGACTTTATATTCTAGAAAATACCAACTCACAAATGGTAGCATTGTTCGGACAAGTGTCTGGCTTAGCAAGCAATGATGGACCAATCATGTACCTCTTTGTCCGGTTCTAAGACCATCCGCAACGGTTATCTTGTTCAATCCTTAGCGTTTAATCCTTAGGTTAATCGATTAAAAAAATAATAAACGGAGGAAAAGTGGGAAGGATTAATCCTAAGCTAAGGATTGAACGTCGTTGATTCTTGTCGACGTGGCAAGGGGGGAGGGCTGTGCGCGTGTAATGTGTGTGTGGTTGGAAAAAAAAAAATTCATTCGGTTTCATTGAAAAAAAAAACGAGAGCACAAGAGAGAAGGCGATATCGAGGCGATCTCGACCCGTTCGATTCCAAGGTAAATCCAAGACTTCTTTCGTTTCTTTTTCGATTTAGATTAGTTTTTCTGTTGTTTTCCTCTCATTCTGTGGTTGGGTTTTGTGTTTTCAATCGATTTGGGGATTAGGGTTTCGAATCTCGGGGATTTGATTCAATCTTTGTTTTCAATTGATTTGGGGATTAGGGTTATCGTTTGAAATTAGGGTTTCGAATCTCGGGGATTTGATTCAATCTTCGTTTGTAGTTGGGGTTTGAGATCGATTTGTAGTCAGGATGTGAGCTCGGTCTGGGGTTAGGGTTGAGATCTCATTCGGTGGTTGGGTTTTATGGATTTCAATCGATAATCATTTGTTAGTGTTAGTGTTTAGAGACTTGTTGCTGGATAATCATTTGAGACTTGTACTTCTTCTTGCTATAGAATCGTTTGAGTGTTGTATCTCCTAATGCTAGAGAATCGTTTGACTTGTTCTGTTTGAGGTTAACTTATGTAAGTTGTTTTCTTTCAGGTTTAACAAGCAGGACAAGATTACTCGTACACACAGCCTTCTTCATCAGATGACGACGAGCTAATAACATCACTTCTCGAAGCTGAAGCAGAAATTTACCGTGATGAAGCTCAGAGTCTATACCAAATTGCTCAGCCAGAAATAGTGTACCCAGCTCAACCAGAGTGTGACGATGGAATGCCGATGCGTTTTTCGGTCTTCCGGGTACCTTAAACGATATTAATGTCCTCGAGCGATCTCCTGTCTTTGATGACATTATGCATGGTCGAGCTCCCGCGGTACAGTACGAGGTCAACGGACACCAGTATAATCTCGCATACTACCTCACAGACGGTATCTATCCAAAGTGGTCAACCTTTATCCAATCTATCTCACTTCCTCAAACTTCAAAGGCGGAGTTATTTGCTAAAGTTCAAGAAGCAACCAGAAAAGATGTGGAGCGAGCTTTCGGAGTATTGCAAGCTCGATTTGCGATTGTCAAAAACCCGGCTCTTTCATGGGACAAGGAAAAGTTAGGGAACATTATGATAACGTGTATCATACTACACAATATGATTGTCGAAAATGAACGAGATTCATACACTATACACGATACATCTGCATTTGAAGAAGAAGGGGTAACAAGAAGTGCAAGGGTGGATATGTCTTATAATGCCTACATGCCTCCAAATCTCGAGCAAATGCATGGAATTCGGATTAATCTTCGCGATAGGCGTAACCACGAACAACTTAAGAATGATTTAATTGAGAACATTTGGAACAAATTTGGTGAGCAAGAGTAAAAGTTATTGTATCTTTCTTTTAAAATCTTCCAATAAATAAAATTAAATTTTTCACAAATTTAAAATTTTAATATTTTTTATTGCTAAGGATTCCAATTCCTAAACACCATTGCACCTACATTTTAGAAGAGAATCCTTAACTATTCAACTTTTTCTAAAACAAAAAAAAAAATATTTCTTTAATCCTAAGGATTCTTTTGTGAGATCCACCAATGTGGATGGTCTAACTTCCAGGCTCGATGTCCATTTATTTATTTTGTTATTTATGTTCCTGTCCTTTTTTTCTATTTTCTTGCTAATGATGCCTTCCTAAATATTTGACTAACCATATAAAGCCATGGAGATTAACTCAACCTTTAACTACTAAGATGTTATCATGATCCACACAACATGTTTATGAAACGTTAGTTTTGTGACGTGTAACGAATTCTCACGAGGACCCGGATCTGTACCCTATTAGTCGGTACTAGTATATGAAGCAAGTGAATGGAATCTGAAACGTATTTATATCTCAAGCCTTACCATTCGACCCCAAAGATCCCCAACAATTCAGGTTACTTAAAAGGAAAATAAACAAAAGTTCATGAGAGCCTAAACAAAATCGAAAAATTACATCAATGGGTTTTCATGAATAAAATAACGGGGTGGCTCACCAACTAATCAACGGAATTAATGGTCATATATAATATTATCTCATATGGTAACATATATATAAAAAAGTCTTTAAAAGAGGCAAAACAAGAGAACGGTGAAAAGCAATGCGTGTGTGGAGACAAGAGGGATCGATACATGAGAAGATGATGTGGCGGTCATGACGTTGGTGCAATCAAGCCCTTCTTTGCCTTCTTTGCACATGTTTGCGAATATACCCGGAGGATAACGACCATAGATATTGATGTAGCTGAACATTGTGGAGGCACAATCAGCCTTCTCGTCGTTAAGAGCTTCCGCGAATGGGCATGCAAAGTCCTTGAAGGCGGAGCAACATGCCTTGGCCGGATAATTTGGGCCTTTGCATTTGCTCGTTATGATTGTGTAATTCTTGCTCGCAAAATCCTCTTTGCATGCTGTTATTATCACATCATATATTAACAAAAACATTGAATCTTTCTTATTTATAATCAGATTTTGGATTAGCTAATCACCAATGAAGCATGCATGAGACATATACGATCAATGATTCAAAATTATTCTTACGTGTTTTTGCCTGAAGAAGAGCTCGGCTTGTGGCTGGGTTGGACTCAAATTCATCAACTGCACATAGAAATTTCATTACGTTTTTTCAAGAACGTGAAACATTTTGCTAGAGACACATACTATATTTGAAATATTAGTAAATTACGAGAGATGTGGAGAGACGAGGTGAATCCAGACAAGAGGATGATTGAAAGAAGAGAAACCAAACAATGAGGATAAATCTCCATGCTTCTGTTTCCTCCTTTGTTTTTGTCTTTGTCACATTTGATTTTCTAAACGTTTCTATTTTTGTTATTTTTTTCGTGTTTTGGAGTTACAGGAGGAGAGGAAAATGCTGCGGATCGTTGATGTAGACGAAACAATATCAGACATACCAACAGAAATTTTCCTATTTTAATCCTTCAAGAAAAACCATCAGATTAACCAAAACGCCGGTTAAAACTCAACTGGTTAATATCCATAAACCAATTCGAATCGTTGAAGGCAACCTGCTCCAATAATTTGAGACTTTGAAAACATTATCATCAACGTGCATGTGTAATATTATATTCACAAGTTAGCAAAAAAAAAAGTATAATATTATATCTACGTCTAAAACAATACAAATTTATTATTGATTAATAATGAACTTTATGATAAATCATTGTTAAGAGAACCTTAAACATATCTAATCACCCTAGGAGTATCCGTTTATCCCCATCCGGTACCTGATTTATCATATAGTCTATGTTTTTCTCAACCTGATGCCCGAACCCATAATGTATTTTGTCAGCTGGTTTGTCATTTGTCACTTTATCAACGATAATACTAAACATAGCTGTCTTAAATAATAACACACCCACGGTAGAATTATTTAGACACTAAGACCATGATTAACGGTGAAACCTAAATGGCTTTCTAAATTTTTTTTATTAATTTTTTTTTTGTCTGATTAAAAAGTTAAAATCAAACCAATCGCGGGTCGTCACGTGTCAGTAAAATCTGCGAACAGTGCAAGAAATCAATAAAAAACGGTATTTATTCTGGTTATTCTACAACCGATTTTTTGTTTTTTGGTGTCTCTTCCTTTAAGAAACCCACTAAACATACCCTTCCCCGGATAATCCTACTCTAAGGAGGTTTCAGAGTTAGTATTTGACATTGTTAAGACTGCAAAGTAAAGCCAAAACCTCCACAAAAACATCTTTAGAGCACCCTTAACGTTGTTGCTTAAGGGAGTGCTTAGGCACTTTTGTATTTAAAAAAAAATGAAAAAGGCTTAATTAATTAAGCTTCGACGCCTAATTAAATACACAGAAGCATTGCTGCTTCATGACACGGGCAGCTCAGCAAGCGGTGCCTCTCTCTCTCTCTTACACACGAAACACAATTGTGTTTCTCTCTCGACTCCTCCGTTTCTCTCATCTCTCTCATCTCTCTCAAGGAGAAATCGATCTCCCTTCGATCAATCGGCGATGATCGGTGGTCGTCTCTGTCGATGGTTTAACCGTCTTCCTCTCTCAGGCTCTCCTCGATGATGAAAGCGAGTCCGACATGCAAGACGATCTCTCCTCGTCTCTCTCTCTCTCCGGGTCCGACTCTCTGGATCTCCTCGACGGCTTCTCGACGAGATGGAGGAAGATCTCTCCTCGTCTCTCTGTCTCTCCGCGTCTCTCTGTCTCTCCTCGTCTCTCTGTCTCTCCTCGACTCTCTGTCTCTCCTCGACTCTCTGTCTCTCCTCGACTCTCTTTCTCTCCTCGTCTCTCTGTCTCTCCGCGTCTCTCTGTCTCTCCTCGTCTCTCTCCGGGACGATGAAAGCGTCTCCGACTCTCTGGATCTCCTCTACGCCTCCTCGAGGAGATCGAAGACGATCTCTCCTCGGCTCTCTCTCTCTCTCCGGATCTCTCGGCGTCTCTTGGTGACGATCTCCTCTCCTCTACGGAATGAAATAGAAAGGTAAACTTATGTATGTTGGATATTTGTTTGTTGTGTTCGAATGTGGATTAATGATATGTCTCTGTCTTTGTTCTTTCATATGGACGGACCACGAGAAGATAACCTCAAACAAGACATATTCAAAACAGGTAAAATTCAAGACCTTTGATTGAATGTTTGATAAATCGAGTGTCGTTATTGTTTAAGACTTGTATAATCTGTTAGAATCGAGTCTTTGATTTTGGTCTGAATGGAGTTGTCTGAATATATTCGAGTAGTCTCGGTTGAATGTTTGATAAATCTGTTGCATTCTTGTTATGTTTGAGTCCAGTAAATGGAGTTGTCTGAAATATATTCGAGTTGTGTTGAGGAATGTATATCATTGTTGTTTTGATTTGAGTTTGTTGAATATATTTTGTTCCCGTTTGGTTGTGTCTCTGGCTACGTATGTCAATGTACTTTGAATTAAGGTTTTTGAATACGTTTTGTTCCTGATTTAGTCTTGTTTCTTTTAGAGAATCATTGAATGTTTTACGGAAGAGTTAGGTGGTAGATAAGTGGTTGTAATAAATAGAATCTTTGCATGCTCATTTAATTCTGAAATGAAATATGACAGCACAAGTCGGTTTGATAGGGTAGTTAATAGAAAGAAAACTTATTGGTGTAGTAGTTGTAAAAGGTTAATTACACAGGGCAGATATATGTCAACTCGGGTATGTTTGTAGTTAGGTAATTAATTTGGTGTAATTACTTCACTTCCCTCGTTAAAAGTAGCTTCAATCTATGAAAATTTTCATTATCTTCTAACTACAACAAAACCCTCCTTCTTAGCATGAATTCCTATCCCTTTAGTGAGTCTGGAAACTTTGTTGACCTGCTTAGCAGGCAACAAAGTGTTGTGTTTGGTAACGAGTCTCTCTCTTCCTCCCAAGCTCCCTTCTTTGGCAGTCAAGGAGTCGAAGATTCGAACTTTGCTCGTGACACTGAAGACACAGAAGGCAGTCGTAAAGGAAGAAGAAGCTGGACTCCTACTGAGGATGTTGTTCTCATAAGCGCGTGGCTCAATACGAGCAAAGATCCCATAATTGGGACTGAGCAAAAGTCACTTGCATTCTGGACAAGAATAGCAGTGTACTACAATGCCAGTCCTAAGCTTGCTGGCCGTGAGAAGAGAGAGACAGCTCATTGCAAAAACCGCTGGCAAAAAAATAATTCAAGTGTTTGCAAGTTCTCTGGGGCATATGAGGCTGCGACCAGGGCGAGAACCAGTGGAGAAAGTGATGCTGATGTTCTGAGTGAAGCCCACAGTATCTTCACAGCTAACAACAACAAAAAAAGGTTTACCCTGGAGTACGCTTGGAGAGAGTTACGTAACGACCAAAAATGGTGTGAGCTGTCTACGGTTAAAGCTGTTGGAAGCTCTAAGAAAAGGAAGGGCGTCGATATTGGGAGTTCTGCAAGCTCTAAAGCAACTGAAGTAGACTCTGACGATGATGCAGTAACTCGTCCGATGGGAGTGAAGGCAGCTAAAGCGCGTTCTAATAAGAAGCCACAAGATGATGGAAAGGATCTCGCTGAGTTTGAGACAGTGTGGACTGTGAAGAAGGCAGATTTGACTTTCAAAGAAAGGCTGGCTAAGCTTAAAGTGTTGGAGAGTCTCGTTGCCAAACAGGGACCACTAGATGATTGTGATAAATCTTTGAAAAAGATCCTCGTTAAGGAGTTATGGAATGAGTAGATTGTGTTGGTTGTGTCTCTTGTGTTTCTGTTGTTGCTTCTGTTGCTTAATCTCGGTTGTATCAAGTGTTTCTGTTGTTGCTTGTGTTTCTTTAAATCAAAGTGTGTTTCTACTCCTAAGTGTGTTTCTAATCTAAGTGTGTTTCTATTTTAAGTTTGTTGTTCTTATGTTAATACTAATGCATGAATCTTTGTTGAATAAGTGTGTTTTAATTGACTATAGCAGTTAGTATGTGTTGTCTCATGTCAAGTGTTGTCTCGTGATGGTTGCAGGTGGATCACATGGGAGAGACAGAAGAAGACAATGCTCGTGACACAGAAGAGGACCGTGACAGAAGAAGACACTGTCTTGATGTACTTTGGAAGACAAACTATTGATGTATTTTGTATTCTTTCGTGTACCAAACTCTTGTGATGTTTCACGTTTCTGTAAATTGTGTACCAAACTCTCATGTAAACTACTTTGTCTATATAAACAGCATGAAACTTCAGAAACAATACTTCAGAAACAATTCAAAAATCATATTTCTCTAAAGGCAAACAAAACTCCTCGTCTCTCTCTCAAATCTCTCAAACCAAACACTCAAATCTCTCAAACGTATCTCTCAAATCTCTCAAACCAAACACTCAAATCTCTCAAACCAAACCGACATCAAAGGTTTAACACCAATCTCTCTCANATGAAACTTCAGAAACAATACTTCAGAAACAATTCAAAAATCATATTTCTCTAAAGGCAAACAAAACTCCTCGTCTCTCTCTCAAATCTCTCAAACCAAACACTCAAATCTCTCAAACGTATCTCTCAAATCTCTCAAACCAAACACTCAAATCTCTCAAACCAAACCGACATCAAAGGTTTAACACCAATCTCTCTCAAACCAGATCATATGGATTCTTCTTCTTCTCAACCCCCATTAGACGATTCATTGGATGAAAGATTTGATGAAATCTTTGATCAAAAATTTGATCAAAAATTTGATCAAATTTTTGAAAAATTTACCACTCATCGTAATGATCAAGAAAAACGAAGAAATCCAAGAAACAAACGAGCTTATATTGAAAGACATCGTGAGGCAGGCAATATACGTCTATGGAATGATTATTTCAGTGAAACTCCAACATATCCCGAAAGAATTTTCCGGCGACGTTTTAGAATGAACAAGACGTTGTTCATGCACATTGTCGATCGACTCTCAAACGAAGTTGAGTTCTTTCGCCAAAAGACTGATGCTCTTGGAAGACAAAGTCTCTCACCACACCAAAAGTGTACAGCCGCCATTCGTGTCTTGGCATATGGTACCGCGGCTGATACGGTCGACGAATACCTACGGCTCGCTGAGTCGACTACTCGGTCATGTTTGGAGCATTTTGTGGAGGCAATAATTAATTTGTTCGGTGAAGAATACCTTAGAAGACCAACACCGGCGGATCTTCAACGTCTACTAGATGTTGGCGAGTATCGGGGATTTCCCGGGATGATAGGAAGCATTGATTGTATGCATTGGGAGTGGAAGAATTGTCCAACCTCTTGGAAAGGGCAATATGCTCGTGGATCGGGCAAGCCAACCATCGTTTTAGAAGCGGTTGCTTCATACGATCTCTGGATATGGCAT